GTTTGTCTGTTTTATCCGTTTGGTATGAATTCGGATAATAGATACTTGTTCTCATGCCTACATTTGGAGATTATCTCTGATTTTTGTTTAGCAAGTTCTTTTTATGGTTTTGTGATATTATTGCTACTTTTTCGTGTAGGCAAAGTAGGCATTTTTTCGTAATGTTGTTGTAGGCAGGGGCTTTTTTCAATATTTCCCAACTTATTGTTGGTGTGATGTTTTGTCTTTTTTGCTGCCATATGTATGTAGAGCGCTTAATAATAAGTACAGTATATAATATATAAATAATTTATATATATATATATATATTTATTTATATTTATATTCTTTTTTTCACATATATATATATATATATATATATATATATATATATATATTAAACCTAAAGAGCCAGATAAACCTACTTAGCATATTGAGCACTTTACTTAGTTATTTTATTTACTCATATCGAGGTTTTTTTTACTTTGGACTCTGAACTTGGATGCTAGACGATTGGCTGACGTACATGTTCTGTTCTTTCTTTTTTGTACCTTTTTTTTTTCCCCCCTCGGGTATAGGTTTTCCGTACGAGTATAATTTCTTATATTTATAAGATTATTATATATATATATATATATATATATATAAGCAAGTGTAAATGGATATAAATCCGACAGAATGAAGAAATTTTGAAAAAACAAACAAAAATCCTTAAATGTAGTTAAATGAAAGAAATGTCGACGTCTGACGTTTCGGGTTTATTAAACCTTTTTCAAGACAATATTCATCAAAATACAATTCAGTTCAATATGACAAATACGATGGACATAAAAACACAAGTCTTATTCAGAACAGATAACTGAAAATTTTTAAAATGATCAGCCTTCCGTCTAACATGGTCACGCTTGTCGTCACATGGGCGACGCTTTTCATAACGTATTCCTAAAAAGTTTGTGATTATTTTGAAATGAAAAGAAAAAAGAAAATGAAAAGAATTCTATTAGGTTCTAAAATTCTTATGTGTATGCTTGTCGAGCATCAATCTCGCTAAAAAGGGGAAATATTAAAGAAACCAGGTCTAGTATTCACCGTGCGTGAGATGGATATTATACCTGTTTCATAAATCCTCCTGAGATTTTTATTATGAAAATATTTTAATACTTTCACGGAATCGAAATCGAAATTATGATCTGCTTTAGTTTGTGTACAACTAAAGCATTGTTAAATTACCGAGACGAACATCTCGTTTATGTTCGAAAACACGAGATTTTAAGGACCTACCTGTTTCACCCACATATTTTAGGTCACAATTTTTTTTGCATGATATTTGATAGATGCAAGCATCGGATGTAATATGTTGTCTGCTGGTGCTATTTAATAAACTACGGATAGTCCTAGTAGGTAATATAGTAGTTCTAATTTTTAATGCATTTAGATTATGAGAGATACGTTCGGTCAAATGGTTATTTAAAAAAGATACCAAACGAAATATTATCAGAGGTAGCTGAAATTGTATCTTTCATTGATCTAGTTGTAGTGGCCTTTGAGGTGTCATTTTTGCGCTGATGAGTGAATTTTCAACGCTTTATTTTTAGCTCTCTGTAATAATTGTCTCGGATATTTAAAGATTTGAAAAAGGTATCCTCAATATATGTAAATTCATCATTTAAATATTTTGATGAACAGATGAAGAGCCCTCAAATAGAATCCAATAACAACACCCTCTTAGTGTTAGTATCATGGTGAGAGTAAAAATGTAAATAGTCATTTTTACATGTAGGTTTCTGATATACTTTGAATTCTAATTTATTTTTATTTTAATGAGTAATATGTCTAAAAAAGGTAAGGAATTATTAGATTCAAGTTCATAGGTAAATTCAATAGTAGGTTCTATTCTATTTAATCTATCAGTAATCTCGTTTAAATCATGCTTATGTGGGTAGATAAATAAAATGTCATCGATGTATCGAAAGTAATGTGTATCAGGTAGAATGACATCTTTAAAAGGTCCAGATTCAAGAAATTCTAGAAATATGCATGCTAGGAATCCAGAGAGAGGACTCCCCATCGGTAAACCAAATTTTTGTTTATAATAAATATTATTATATTGAAGAAACAATGTGAAGTGCAAAGGATGCATAATTTGATGCATTTCGAGATAGAGATAGGTAGCTTAAAGTCAATTTTCTTAAGGTGGTTCTCTAATTGTTTAATGCATTTATCAACAGGTATATTAGTATATAAAGATTTGATGTCTAAGCTAGCTAGTAATTTGTTATCTATATCAATATTTCTCAACTTATTTAAAAGAGAGCCTGAATTCTTTATATGTGCGTTACTTACGGTGCCCAGAATTGGAGTTAGAAATTTAGTTAAATAACTAGCAATATTATGAGGAGCTGAGCCTATACCCGAGATGATGGGCCTTAATGGAATGTTAAGCTTATGGGTTTTGGGGAGGCCATAAATTTTAGGGACGGCAGCATCTGGTAGTTTGATGAGCTTTGCTCCTGGCAGCTCAGAGGATCTGCGGGTTTATCTTGCTGGGTGACTGCTTGTATTCTGCAAGAGCGCCACACTTGGCCACAATGACAGGAGCCATCTCAGCGGACTTTGCCTCAGTCATATGACTTTGAGGTCTTTCTTGCAAAGGTGGCTAAGGCAGCGCAGAGCATGGTGTCCCACAGGGTCCTTTACTTCTCCATGGCAGAGTCTCCAGTCCACGAGGTTGCCTGTTCATTCTCAAACCTCTTGACAAACTTACACAAGGTCTGGCTGTCTCATCTTGCTGACATCAATGCGAGGATTCCCCTGTTTCTTGCCATGATGGAACATCTTGGGCTGGAGCTTGATCTTGCAGCACAGCAAGGAGTGGTCTGTATTGCAATTCATGCTGTGGTAAGTGTGAAGGACATTCTTAATGGCGGCTTGCTGGCCAGAACGAGTTCCAGCTGGTGCCAATGGTTTGAGTGTGAATGTCTCCAGGAGACCTTGTGCTGGGGCTTGGTCCTGAAGAAGGAGTTGTCTATACACAAGTTGTGGTAAGTGCATAGCTCAAGCAGTCTTTGGCCATTGTTGTTCATCTTGCCGACGCCAAAATGTCCAAGGTACGAAGGCCAAGAGTCATGATCAGCACCCATTCTGGCGTTGAAGTTGCCTAGGATACTGTAGATACTGCTGATGGTGGTTGCCAGCTTGTCATAAAACTTGTCCTTGGTGTCCAGAGTGGCAGAGAGCGTTGGGACATACATGCTGACGGGGTGACAGGGCCTGTGGTGGTGTTGAGGTGGAGAGTAACTATCTTTGATCACCACGCAATGTGATGTCTGAATTGGGCATCAAAACAAATATGCATTTTTGTAGTGGTAATTTGTGTGTATATATATATATATATATATATATATAAAATAATAGATAAGGAGGTGCACATACACATTGATAAAATGTAGTTAATATCTATTTCTCATTAAAGATTATTTATGTAGCATTAATGAATGCTCACAGATGGATATTGAACTATTGTAAATCATTATTTCAAAACATTCCAAATGCACACGCTAAATAGAAGAAAATACAATAAAGCAAACATTAAAAAATTATTACTAATCCGTTCTTAACCAAGAAGGAAAGAAAACACTTTGATTTCTAAGTCGCATTTGCCTGGTTTGAAACACAAAAGATCAATGAAAGCTTCCTCTGAGCTGATACAAAATTTAAACTTCAATTTAATCATTTATTTCTAGGGCAGTAAATCTTTAGAATATTGAAGCACAACCCATAGATCCAATATACTTAGTATATCTTACTATGCCATCTCCCAAGATTTATTATAAACATAATGCATGACAAGTCTTTTTCTTAGGAAACTGGATATTAATAACTTTTCAGAGTAATTGCAATAAAAATATTTTCTTTTATGCTAAAAAAAAAAAAAAAAAAAAAAAAAAAAAAAATTCCATTTATTCAATTGATAAATGACAAATTCAAAATAGCTTATTGAAAGTGCAAAACAGTTTAATCATATGGTGATAGTACATCTTAAAATCAAATGTTGTTCAACCCAGCCTCCTATTTTACAATCATCGCAGAGGCTAAAAGATCATACGAATCTGTTAAAATCACGTTTAGCAGTGCTGGCCTTTTGAGTCATAAAAAAAAAAAAACATTTTTCTTAAACTATGCATTTGATAAAATAAGACACAAAAATCTGTTTGAACTACCAGGAATGTTCCAGATTATTCTAATATATTTCTCAAATAAATCATTTGAAAAATGTATTAGAATAATCTGGGACATTTACTGGGAACAAACTGCCTGCATTCAAATAAAAAAAAAAAAAAAAAAAAAAAAAGAATTGACAAAGCCCACAAAAATAGAAAGAAACAAATTTGGACTTACAGCAAGGTGATCCTAAGAGAATTAAATGTCCTACCAGGATTTATTATTGGTGGATATAATCTTAAAACAGACACAGAAAGAAAACTGTAGGGACTCCTATATGAGGTAGTAAAGGATAAGAAGAAAGGACTAACATCAATTGTAACAAGACAAAATGTATAGTCATTAGCAATAGGGACAGTCCAAGATACAAGCTATAAACTGAAGACATCAAAATCAAGCAAGCACAGAAACGACCAGAAAATTTCATTAGATTCAAAAAGTGCTTACTTGCTATATAATATCAATTCTCTTATATGGCAGTGAATGATGGATAATTTCCTCAAAGATGAAGATAACTGAGGCAACAAAAATTTAGTTCTACAGAAGGATACTGAGAATACAAAGTATCTAAACAATGAAGTTTTAAGGAAAGTGAACATTTGTACTTAGAATCAAAAAGAGGATGTTGAAATTTCTGAGAAAAGGGTTTAGAGAATTTGACATAATGAAGGCAAGAGGGGCAGAGGGATATAGCAAGTAACGAAACCAATGAGTTGCTAGTGTAAATGGATGGCAGAACAGAGGAAAAGTCAAAGGATAAACACTGACTAGAACCACAAAAGATAGGAAGTTGTGGAGAGCTATGGTTCTCCTACAAAAAAAGCAAAAAAGGAGGCCAAAAAAAAAAAAAAAAAAAAAAAAAAAAAAGCAAAAAAAAAAAAAAAAAAAAAAAAAAGAAAAAGAAAAAAGAAGAAGAAAAAAGAAAAAAGAAGAAAAGAAGAAAAGAAAAAAGAAAAAAAAAAGAAGAAGAAGAAAAGAAGAAAAAGAAGAAGAAAAAAAAGAAGAAAAGAAGAAGAAAAAGAAGAAGAAAAAAGAAGAAAAGAAGAAAAAAAGAAGAAAAGAAAGAAGAAAAAAGAAGAAAGAAGAAAAAAAGAAGAAAAGAAGAAGAAAAAAAGAAGAAAAGAAGAAGAAAAAAAGAAAAGAAAAAAAAGAAGAAAAAAAGAAGAAGAAAAGAAGAAGAAAAAAGAAGAAAAAAAGAAAAAAAAGAAAAAAAGAAGAAAAGAAGAAGAAAAAAGAAGAAAAGAAGAAGAAAAAAAGAAAGAAAAAAGAAGAAAAAAAGAAGAAAAAGAAGAAGAAAAAAGAAGAAGAAAAGAAGAAGAAAAGAAGAAGAAAAGAAGAAAAAGAAGAAGAAAAGAAGAAGAAAAAAGAAAAGAAGAAGAAAAGAAAAAAGAAGAAAAAGAAGAAGAAAAGAAAAAAAAGAAAAAGAAGAAAAAAAAAAAAAAAAAGAAAAAGGAGAAAAAAGAAAAAGGAAAAAGAAAAAGAAGAAAAAAGAAAAAGAAGAAAAAAGAAAAAGAAGAAAAAAGAAAAAGAAGAAAAAGAAAAAAGAAGAAAAAAAAAAAAAAAAAAGAAGAAAAAAAGAAAAGGAAAAAAAAAAAAAAGGAGAAAAAAAGAAAAGGAGAAAAAAAGAAAAGGAGAAAAAAAGAAAAGGAGAAAAAAAGAAAAGGAGAAAAAAAGAAAAGGAGAAAAAAAGAAAAGGAGAAAAAAAGAAAAGGAGAAAAAAAGAAAAGAAGAAAAAAAAAAAAAAAAGAAAAGAAGAAAAAAAAAGAAGAAAAAAGAAAAAAGAAAAAAAAAGAAAAAGAAGAAAAAGAAAAAGAAAAAAGAAAAAAGAAAAAAAGAAAAAAAGAAAAGAAAAAAAGAAAAGAAAAAATTAGTTTGTCAACAAATATGTATATTAGATGGATTTTTTTTAATCCAACATTATTTCTTATTGCTATAAATGTTATTTATAGTGGGTACACATTTTTGAGTCGCTATTCCTGTACATAGTGTTGCTCTTTGATGCCCCTACTTTATACCTTGGAACACTGTGAGCTGAAGGTACTCTCCTCTAGTTAAGGTAGTCAAAATATTATCTTAGCTAGGAGTGAATGAAGTTTCTGATTTCTTTATTTTTCCCATTATACCTTCTAGATTTTATCCTTACTTTTCATATAACCTCAATACCATTGTTATTTTACTCCTAGTAAATGGCATCCACCAAGACCAATGTTGCAAACTGTAGTTCACCTGGTGAGTGCAAATCTACCTAAAGCACTGAAATCTTTATACTGTGACTATATGAACCACAGCCAACTAGTATTCTATGTCCCCACATGTCACCTAATAAGCTGAATTCTAACAGGCTGATGTAACAAACAAAAAAGTGAATGGCCGCTTAGAAAATTGCTAATCTAAAAGAGAGGTAACTTTAAAAATTGAATTCTCGGAATGTAAATTAACAAATGTACAATCACCTAGAATTTATCAGACATTATTTCAATTCCTTAGACATGTTTTCAACCCTAAAATGCATATTTACACCATTTTTAAAAAAAAATAATCCACATGTTATAAATGGCTGTTAGTTATCTCGCTTTTATGATTTTCAATTGCGTATACAGCCTGTTTTGCAAATGAACACTATTTGATAAATTTTCTACCTCATAGTTCATTGCCTTTAAAGATTCAATTATAAAGTTTTTTTGTAATTTTTTGTTCAATAAAAATGGTTAACGAATGTGTTGCATTTGGCTGTTCTAGTGGATATGCTACTAACAGTGAAAAAGTATCAACATTTTCTTTTCCTCTTGGAAAATCCAACTTTGCAGAAAAATGGATAAAATTCATTAACTGTATTGATTGGTTTCCTATGAAAAATTCAGTTCTCTGTATGAAACATTTTAAAAAGAAATTTATTTTGAAAGGAGAATGAAATGAACTGAATTTAGATTTACATCCAATACCTACAATACATTCAGAAGAATAAGAAAACCATCTCTTTTGCCCAATATGAAGGAATTCAAGAAGCCTCCAAAACAATGACGACTGGTCCAAACTGATAAATTACATGATTTTATTTCAGCTGATATGATAAAGGATTTTATTCAACTGGAAGAAGCAAAGTGTAGTTTTAAAGGTTTTGAATTTAAAAAAAATAGGAAGATTACATTTTAATTTATAGTCTTTGACCCTGAAACACATTTTCCATCTATAAAAGAATGTATTCGCATTGACCAAAACCTTCACACCCAGCTCCAGTGGTTTATACATGGATATAATGCTAAACTCACAAAGATCTAGCATAGTGGAAAATTTTCCAAACTACATACAAAATGCGGTGGAAGAACCAGTATACTCAATTCTAAGAGAATAAAAAAAAACATTACCAACCAAGAGGTCATCCTTCAATATCTTCAGAACTAATATGTTATGCCTTACTATTGTGCTAAGTGTCTCAACAAGCCTATAAATTACTTCTGGAGAAATTTCCATTATCATCTTTTTCTTTATTAGAGAAAATTCAAAATAATTAAACATTTTCAATGTGAAATGTGTTTCCTGATCATGTTAGGCAATGATAGTAATAATGCTACACAGAAGCAGTACTTATTTTCTTGAGGTTTTATGGCTCTACCTAGCCAAATGGCAGAGATTGTTTTGCTATATTTGACTATGCAAATGCAAGACAATGAATTTAATGCAAGACACAATGATTCCACTACAAGAGAGTCTTCTGAAAGAATTTTGGGAACTTATCCTTCAAAATATGTTTTTACTTGTAAACAACACACTGAAAAAGGAATTCATTTTGCAGCAAAAACTGTTGTGAATATATTTTACAACAACAAACAGTAGTTTTCATTGGATGAAGTTCGAAAAAATATTGCAGAATTTAAAAAAAAAAAAAAAAAAAAAAAAAGCAAATGTCAAAAGAAAAATTGATTGTTTTGTATTACTGCTTAATTCTTTAATAACTTTTTTGTTTGTTTACAATCTTTTATTGTTACTTTTCTATTTAAAAAGAGAAAAAAAAATCTATTTGTGTATTATGGACAGTTTTAACATGTTTTAGATAAAACATAAATTGACTATAAACCAAATACGCCTGTTAGAAATTAGCCTGAAATGTGACATGTGGGGCCCATGTATGAACCAAATTGTGGACACCAGTTTGAATAAATTTGAGCATAATAATAATAATTACACATTTCAGAAATTCAAACAGAAATATTAGAAACTCAAATAGTTGTTTCATCTTTAGAGATTCACATTACATACTATGGGTAACATTTCTGCCCATAAACAAGTAATAAAAGAAAGAAAATTAGTAGCAAAAGAGGAATAAAGTAGCGAATTATATAAATAACTTGTTTCATTTATTGTTTTTAAGGATTGATGGAAAACTGATCAGTAATTAAAATTAGTGATTGATAGAAAAGACAGGAAAAAAAAAAAAAAGTATTAGGATTTTGTATCCCTGACTAAATTGTTTTTTTTTTTTTTTTTTTGTTACATCTGTTTTTTACAGCAAAAATAGTTGTCACGTTTAGTGGGTATGTGATTCTATTTAAGTCAACAGCAGATCTTATGTAATAAGTCATTTGGTGTTCTGAGAATCTGGTTACCAAGGTTATATAGATTGTTCTTTTTGTTCAGTTAATGGAAGTGTTACATAAGTCACTTGTTTCTGTCTGTTCATTATACTCTTGAAAATCTAACTCAAATGAAACATGATGCCACACTTGATTTTTTTTTCTTTGTATGGTGTTACCAACACTAAAGTCAGTTCATTTTCAATAGACCAAAAGAAAAATGAACAAAATTACAATTTATGATGCATAACCCTGTTGGCCCAAGGTATACTCTATGGTCACACTTTCATCATTTTCCAGAATTTTGTTTTCCAGAGATAAATATATAAATAGATAATTCTCTTCAAAACTAAGACAAATAAAATTATGGCAAAAATAAAACTTATCAGGTGGCCATTTGTTAATTTTTTTTTTAAATGTCTAACTACTAGTGTTAGAATACTCATGAGTAAAGAGTATATTTTTTAATCATTTCACTCTAAGCAAGGCAACAAATTGACTAAGACACAGGAGGTTACCAAGTGTGAAAGAACATAAAAGAAAAAGAAAATATTAAGTAATGAGAACACTAAAAGATAAATTAAGAAGACAGGAGATAAAGACTGTCATTGCATTTAAATTTTTAAAGAGAAAACTTGACTGAAAAATCAAGAAACCAGAAGAAAGTTCCAGAAGTGAGAAGTATGGAAAAAACCCCAAAAAACAAAAGAAACTGTTAAGATAAAACTTATGGTTATATCTAATCATTTCAACTGAAATGAGATCTTGTCACCAATCTAGGATGGCACTTAAATTCATAGAGTCTAGGTAGCATAGAGGAAAGTTCATCAGAACATTTACCATGAATGTATTTATAGAAAATGTACAGAAGTAGTGGGAAGAGGATTGATGCCAGGTTAGAACCAATAACACACTATATATATATATATATATATATATATATATATATATATATATTATATAAGCAGGATCACCAAACTAGAGGTGACAGCAATATTGAAAGTGAGGGCAAATGGTACTTATAGATAAGATAGATTCTGGCGATAAAAATTGTCTAACATGACAGTGAACCATTTTCCTAGCAGCAGACCTAGCAATCGAGTCAATACAATCTTTCCACATCATGTCAGCAGAAAATGTTAGCCAAAGAAAGTACAATGAGACATGCTGATAGAAGAAAGAAAAAGAGTTTCCTCAGACCATTAATAGAGAGCAATTTTGTATTGGAGGCATTGAAATTAACAAGATGTAGGTCATTTTGGAGATCAGCTGCCAATTTGATCTAATTGAACCAATCAAACCTACTATTAAGACAATAGTAAATAGTTGTTTCAACTTAGATACTGAGTTGAGAACCGATACCATCAGAGAGATCGTTGATGAAAATTAAAAATAATGTAGAACAGTTTAAAACTTTGTCCAGAAATACCATAACATTTCAACTTAAGAAAAAAAAACCAGTATGTATCTCTGTCAAATGCCTTTGAGATAGCCAAAGCAACATCATATTTATCTAAAGCTTGATGGACTCTTTCAGCAATAATCATTAATACATCAGCAGTTGACCTCAAGAAGTGAAAGCCATATTGCTTACCTGAAAGAAGACCCTACATGGTGAGATGCTTAACCAATTCAGAGTTGACTAAGAGCCTCTAATACTTTACCAAAAAGAAGTAGAAGGCTAATAAGCCAATAGAAGGAACAGATGGTTCACACCCGAGTTCCTACAGAAGAGGATTTCCAACAAGCAGGAAAGCTAGAAGCATCAAGGCATTTATTGTAGAGATTAGAGAGAACAGGAACCAGTTCAGAAGCATATTTCTTAAGGACTATTGCAGAGATATCAACAAGTCCACATTCTGCATGAATCACTTCTAACAGATGTTTTGGGTTGGTGCCTTTTTGAAATCATCTATCAAGTCTAAGCTTGATAGCAGAATGTAAAATAAAAATAAATCTATCAAAAAATTATTATAAAAATCTATAAATCTATCAAAAAATTATTATAAAAATCATCTATCAAGTCTAAGCTTGATAGCAGAATGTAAAATTTTTACAAAAGGATGAACTAATATTTTAGCAAATATAATTTCCTTTTAATCCTGCTATTTTCCCCTGGCATTGTATTAAAAGTAATACTATAAAATGGTTCTTCACTGTTAGGATGCTATTTTTTAACATCATACAGTGTATTCTTTTTTTTCCCCCAAATATAACCCTTGCTTGTTATGTCCTGAAAGTTCAATTTTTTCTTTCATCTGACCAAATAACTGTATTCCAAGTAATTATTTGACCGAGTCAAACTTATGTTTCTATCATTGGTTTATTTCAAACAACTTGTCCATGAAATTTGTTATTTCAGTGTTCTACAAATTGTTGTGACAAACCTTTTCCAGTGTTTTTCAAATCTACTTGGATATCCTTTATGCTTGATTTCAGATTAACTTTTCTTTCAATTTGAGTCACTGTGCTGTAATCTTCAGTACCAGTTTCTTTGCATTTGGACAAGTCAATAGAACAATCATATCAGATTGCACAGAAATTCTTATAGTCTTTCCTAAATTGGTAAGTCTCAATCAATATCTTTTTCAGGTCTTTGAAAGTTTTTGTCATGATTTTAAAAATGAGTGATATATCAGTTTGGAATTATTAATCATAAGAAAATAATATAGAGACATTTTTGTATACACTATGAAATGGACAAAGTCCGACAATTATTTTAATATATTTTATTGTTATACTTTATTTATATATACACAAATATTTAAGTAAATGCTATGTTTATAATAAACAGTATTAACAACATTTACCAGCCTGAATGTCCAAGAAATTTCATAGAAAATATGCATTCTTCACAGAACCATCATATAGCCTGATGTGCTATACCAGTTAGCAAGGTTGATTTTACTGCTTTTAAAATCATGGGAAATTTGTAGTTTAAAAGCAGTAAAATCGACTGCTTACCAGACGCTCCTTTGTAGCTAACCAGATATAGCATGTCAGGATATATGACTGTTCCATGTAGGATACAGATTCAATTCCTGTTGGAGGATGCATATTTTCTATGAAATTTCTGACATTGTTAATACTGTTTATTATAAACAGAGCATTTACTTAAATATTTGTGAATAAAAATGACAATAGGAAAACTGGTAATTGCTGACGCGTTTCGTCCAATGTGGACTTTATCATTTTTATTCATAAATATTGTCTTCTCTACTGGTTAAATCAGAGAAATTTTCATATTAAATATTTGTGTACATATAATTAATGTATAACAATAAAACATTTTTGTATACAACTTCCTTTGTGTGTGTTGTATCTGTCTATGCATATCTGATTTAAAATCAACTAAGTTCTTTGTTTCAGATTTTTTTGTCCCCCCCCCTCCATCTTTTGTTTGGTCCATTTTTCTGGTCTCTGGACAGAGTTGGAATAAATAGTGCAATGTTTTCTAAGTGTCAAGTCTTGTGCAAACAAATACTTATCAATAATACAAAAATAATATACCATGTAGACTGTAAAAAAATAACTATAAATGCAAAAAGTTTTAACCATAATGAAAACTGGCACAATTTAAAGTGATTCAGGGCATTTTTGTAAACTCTGAAATCAAATTCATTTGTGTATAATACACAAATTCCTATACTTTTTCTTTTTGATTAAATAAAATTTTTTATGTAGAATTTTTAGAAATTGCCTTATTTAGCTGCATCTGTATTTTGTTTTTTTTTGTTTTTTCAGATTTTAACATTAGTCTGGACATAATGAGGTTAATAAAAAAAAAAGCAAAAAAAACAAAAAGAACGGAATGATACCTAGTACCAAACTTGAGCATAAACAAACCAACTAAAAATTGTTTTTGCCAGTTGTTTCCCTTTGAGCTATGAGTTGAATTACATTTTTTTTGTCTACAAAACAGTCATTATATTGTGTCAGAGATTCCAAAGTTAATATACATACTAAAAATATTGCTTTAAGAAAAAAACAAAAAGGGATGAAGGAAGTCATACTAAGAGTTTTTAAAATAAATAGAAATCACTACAATAATGAAATTTACCATGTTTTTTCCCTCAAATTCTATGACCAAATATTTCTCACCTGCAATCCCCACAAGGTCTTACAATTTGGTTGTATTGATCCTACAATTGTGAGCTTCTGCCAATCTTAATAAATAACTAGAATCTCATTCAAAAGCAAATAAAATAAAGTCAACAGTAACCAACATTTTTTTTTAATCTATCTTGCCTGTAAACTACATGATATCCATTTAAAAAAAAAAAAAAAAAAAAAAAAAAAAATGTATGAAATATTAAATAAAAAAAAATCATGTAGGAAATATTTATATTTAAACTTGTTCCATTGCATTTATTTTTCTATTACAGAACAAGTACAATGTATTAGATAGTATTGCTCTAAAAACCATGTAAACAAATTTAAATTTGATAATATAAAAGATAATATACCTTATATTTGTTTCCACAATCTTTGTCCTTTTAAAAAAGCTAATGCTTATTGAAATTGGTATGTTATAATAATATAATTTTTTTCTACACATTGTTAGGCAGTTCCATTTTTAGTCAGTTTGTAAGTTCATGAAATTTCTACTTTCATATGTAATTCTATTCAACTGTGGTATACTATTTAAGAGAGAAAAAAAAAAAAAAAAAAAGAAAATATAGTAAATGATTCTTAAAATTCGCCAGATGCAACACACACATAAGGAAGGTAGAAAATTATATAAGCAGAAATATATAAAACAATTTAAATTACATGAATATTTATTTGTCATGTGAAATTCATAAGATTGTAATTCTTTTCACAGATTTTTAAAAATAAAATAATTTGTTTTAGAATAAAATTCTTTTGAAAATAGACATTTTTATATAAATTTTCTAGGTATAACTTTTATCCTCCCTATAAAGGATAAATTTTTGTATTTTTAGATGAAGCCATTTTTTTTTTTTCATGAAAGTCTGGTCTAACATTACATGGTTGGTATAAATTTTCACATCTGAATTAACTATGAAATTTTTAAATATATACACACATTCAATGTTGCAATAATAAAATGTTATATTTTTCTATCTCTTATGAACTTCATTTCCACTATTACATTAACATTTTTATATTTATCTGTATACATTTACATTACAAGAAAATTTTCTGATAGATACATAGTTGTTAAGGAAGTTTTTATTCACTCTTGACAATTTTCGTTAAATATATTTTATTGTTACTGCACAAAATAAACAATCCCAAATAATGAACATTCAACACTGAATATCAATAGTTATTTTTATATCATTTTCACCATAATATAAATAAAATGTAGCATTTCTATTTGATAAAGATTATTAAAAGATAATAAAAAAAATAGAAATGCTCTAAGATCTTGATAGAACTTCATGGCAAGCATTTAGAAGTCAACTAAGAGAAAGGAAATATTGACTTACCTGCTGTTGTCCTCAGATGTCGGATCTTGAGTTATGAAATTGAAAAACTTTTCAATACCTTCAGGGGGAGTATTTTTTGACTCGCACAGATTGTGAATAAGTTCTTTCATCCCTTCTCGAGCAGAGCTGTAATATCAAATTGTTTTCTTTTAATTAACTCCTCACTAAGGTAGACTTATGCCTGCCATAACAAAATGCAAAAATATAGCAAAAGATTAATTCTCTCTGTGTATGGAGGTTTCTATTCTAATATGAAGAAAAAAAAAAAAAACGAATTTTGAAGTATCAATATAAATGACTTAAAAAGATTGAAATAATTTTCTGGTATATTGAAGAAATTGTTGGTAAAGCATTCATTTTTTGTGAAAAAATATTAGTAATAAATTAAATCATACAAATTTTTTTTTTTTTGTTTACCTTTAAAAAAAAAGACCTGCAGATGGGATATGTTTTCCTGGCATTACCATTGTAAAATACTGGCTTTATGTCTGAGTATTAATAGTATTTGATCATGGTTACCGAACAAAAAAACAACCACAGGAGGTGTAGTAAGCAAATTTTAATTCCGGTCATATGGTGCAAAAAGAAAGCTACTTCTATTACTATGCCATTGCCAAAATAAAAATCATTTAAATATTTTAGATTAAAGTAAAAAAGCTAATAATTTCTTATAAGGTTTACATGTACTAAATTTTTTTTTTTTTTTTTTTAAATATCTGACAAAACTTTATATCCTAATTTCAAGCCTATTAGTCAAGATTGTGCAAAATACAAAATTATCACCTAAGATCTGTTATTCTGATTTATATTAACAAATATTTTCATCAGAAATCTTTGTCATAAATAACTTTTATCCATTTACCAGACATCTGTTTGTATTAGCAGATATGACTAAAGTTTTCTGGTATAATTTAAACATTTGTCAATAGAGAATTCTGCAATGTAAATCAAATGAATTGATCTGAATCATATTTGTAAATATTAAGTTTTAAAAAAATAATAAAATCACTTTTTTAATGTATATGGACAATTTGTCATGACAGCTAGTGAACAATATATTAATATGAAACAGATGTTTGTTTGTATAACTAAGCCATAAAGAACACAAATGCTTTCTTTTTAACCAATTCCCTACATATGATCAAAATTTGTGTATTATACACCTTCTGTATTAAAGAAACAATTATAAATGCTATTGAAATATTCAAAATTAAAATCCTAACAAAGTTACATAGATTATTCATATATTATTTTGTACAATCTAACAAAAGAATAACATTTCTGATAACTTACACTAAAATTTCATGCATTCGAGATATTTCCATGTCTCTTTGTTCAACTGTAATTTGCAGAATATGATTCTTTTTCTCGGCAGCTTCTAATGCTAGCATTTTATGTTCTATTTCTTTCTGCAAAATTTCAATTTCACGCAAATGTTTCCGATTTTCTTCCCAGTTCTCACGGCGTATATCAAACTGTGAAGTTTCCTGAAAAGAATAAAACTTTTCATAAATTTCATAATCCATGAACAAAATTTAACAAAGTTACAATATTATTTGAGTAAATACTAATATATCAGTTAATATGCTTGTGTCTAAAACCTATAGAAAATTGCCTTTTTCCTCATAAGAATTTTAACTATTTAAATATTCAGAATTTTACAAGTAAAAATTGAAAGTTATGAAAGAAGGCAATACTTTTTATACTTTGAAGTTTCTCTTCATTGAGATAAATATGAATTGAATTTTTTAGTTAACTAATATTTATATTGTGCTAAGTATAACTTGCATTTATTTTTACTGTCCTTTTGTTACATTTTAGATCTACAAACATAAAAAGATACTTAATTACATGATTTCCAAATTAAGAGATTGGTAGTAAGGTTTAATGAACTGCTAAAAGAACTGAAGTTCATATTTAGAACTTTCAGTATGTTCAAGCAATGTTTGTCACAACATGAGTGACATAAATGTATGATGGTTGGTCCCAACAATCAAATAAGACAAAATTCTTTTAGTTAAGGGAAATAGTATGTCGAGAATATGCACATAACAAAAAACTGACATAAGAAATGAGATTAACAATATAACACAAAAGGAAATTTACTTAAACCTTATATAATGAAGAAAAAGATTAAAAAAGGAACAAAGATGGAATCTCTACAGTTTAAAAGATAGTCATTCACTGTTCAACTGCTAAAGTAAATAAAAGGAACAACATTTAACTCAGTCACACAGACTTTTTCTTGTTTTATCATTCAGATACTTAAGAGTAAAAATTTGTTTTTTTTAATCATTTCACCTCAGACAAGGCAATAAAGCCACTAAGATGCAAGGAGTTACTGAATATAAGAAAATTAACACTAAGGAGAGAGAACAATAAAAAAAAAAAAACAGGAATTAAGAAAACAGAAGATAATGATTGACATTGCATTTAAATTTTTGAAGATCAAACCACAAGGAAGTTATGTTTACATAACAAGCTGAAATGCAAGGTCAAGACCATTGACAGTGCAGATTCTTTGAATTTTATCAAGAATATCCAAATATGTAGAAGGAGCACCAGACCAGATGTTGTAGTAATATTCAAAGCAAAGGCAAGTTGTAGACAGTTTTCCATGCACTTCTTTTGGAGGACCTTCATTAACATTTGTATATCTATATGTATACCATAAAACCTCCCATTCTCAACACTGCTGGAGAATATTCTTTGTTGAGGTATTTAGTTGGACTACTGTTTCAACTTTTCCATAAAGTTAACTATTATCTTCAACTTTAATAAATTGTTATCCAGTATATTGATTTGCTATCTTCAAGTGTATCTTGCATTAGATAATACTTTTTTTGTAGTCTTCAAATCTGATTTTTAGTAGGCAGCTGATTTCTCTCAAATATTATCTACCACAAATATATAATATGTTATGAATACTGCCTTCAATCCAACCCCCCATCACTTGTGGGCTTTGTGAAGTTATGCAGTGTAATTTTATTATGGAAGGCTACCCAGGTATTAAACTGACTGCAAATACTTTGGTTCCTTTTGGTAATTTTTCACACATTTTTTATAAAATGGTTTCCTCAAGGCTTTTTTTTTTTTTTCACAGCCAGAATTTATTTGTGTTTTAGTGTAATTATTTTCTGGACATTTTTTGTATATGAATATCAATTTCTCTACCATAAGCTATGGCTGAAAGGGTCATATGTTCCAGCATAGTTCTCATATTTGAGCAATAGTACAGATTTTAATGAAGCCATTCTCAAAGTCAAATTCTTAAAGCATATCAATATCGCTCATCACCAATAAAAGTATTTATTTCATTGCTAAGCCTTCTTGTTTCTTTGATGCTGAATTAGATATGGAATATTGGTTATATCAGATACCAAATCTTTTCTCAATCCTTTAAACTAAACCTATACAGACTTAAATACACACACTATATATATATATTTTTGTATGAATGTAATATATGCAAGGTTCTAAAGAGTCATAACTTCTTAAAAAAAAAAAAAAAAAAAAAAAAAAATCGCTCATATATTCAAATTACCCTTTGGCCAAGATCCTTGACAAGAGACTGTCTTTCCATTTTAAGTAAATTCAATTCCTTCACCAATTCTTCATGTTGCTGTAACTGCTGATGTTTGGAAAGTTTCTCTTCATCAACTCGTTTTTCAAGATTCAGAAGTTGCAGCTGCAGTTCCAATGCTTCAAATAAACAAATTGAAGATTTTATTTTTTTTTTCAACATAGTAGATGCACTTAGTAGATGAAACCATTGTTAAATTTCTTTCTTTAAAAATTTGGCATTAACAACAAAATATCTACAGTAGATTGGTTCCATGTGGGTGGTGGAAATTCATAATAGCAAACCATATACACTAGGTAGGTCCCAAACTTTTTATTATACGCCCATATGATAACTCCAAAAAAAAAAAAAAAAAAAAAAATGATTAGCAGTTGTATAGGGTGCGATGGGTAAATTGTCGCAATTTTATATTTTTAATTCCATGTATACCCATTCTTTGTTTTTGTCAACTGCACAGTATAGGAGGGTCAGTTGGATACAGTCTATAAAAAAAGAGTACCATGACATAATTCACTCTGCCATAAACTTGGAAATGGCATGCTGTATTGCTTGGCATTCACACTGGAAACTCCAATATGAACATTTCAGAGTGTTTTGGTGTCAATCTGAAGACAATGCAGAGGATTCGGAAAGAGTTGGATGAGTCTAATGGTGATTACAAAGGTACGGCAGCTCAGAAAACTCACTGATCGTTCTGATAAAAAATGAACTCCCAAATTTGTTGGTGAGGGCCTCAGACTCACAGAAGCCTACATCAAGCAAATTGGGGAGGCAGTGCTGCCCTGGGTGAAGAGGGTGGCTTCTGGAAGACACCATGTCTGGCAACATGACTGCGCCATGCCACACAATCAGAACTCAGTCATGGCTGTCAGACAATTTGTGACTATATCACCCCCTTACATCTGGTCACCTAACTCCCCAGAGTGCAACCCTCCTTGATTACTATGTGTGAGACACAGTTGAGCAAGAGACCAACAAAACTCTTTGTAACACCAGAGATGAATTGAAGGCAAGGATTATGGCCGCATTCACCAACTTAAACAAGGAGACCATCAAGAAGAGTTGATGGAGATTCCAAAGCCACTAAAATGCAAGGGGTTACAAAGTGAAAGAATATGAGGAGAAAAAACTCATTAAAGAGATAGAAGATAACACTGCATTTAAATATTTGAAGATCAATGTTGATTGGAAAGCAAGAAGCCAAAAATGCTTTTCAAAAATGAAAAGTACAAGGGAAGAAACTGTTAGCATAGAATTTACAGTTACATCTAGTTGCGTTGGAACTATAATATTAATGGGTTACTGAAGGGAGTTATTGTATGGATGGTAAGAATAAGAGGTAAGAAGTACATTTTATGAGGACAATGGTTAACCATAGAATTGAAGATTGTAGTTGTTGGGAAAGCATCCTCTTGAAAGTCTGTTCCATGAAAGAGCTTGTACATAGGAAGAAGCTATCCAAGGGGAACTTCCTTATTACAAATGGAATACAAAGGGAATGGGGATGTTTCATCCCAGTGTACATGGTATGGCGCATCTTAGCTGTGAAGGTTAGAAGTGGCAGAACTAAAGAATGTAGCTTGTGAGAACATTTTCTATTGAAATAGCAACAGAGTAGCAGAAGGCTTGTAACATTTAGACTGTGGAAAAAAGGTTATAGGGTTGAAAATAAATAATCTTCCACAAAACTGTTAGATGCTTTTGAAATCTACCAAGACTGGATGGGTAGCTCCAGCCCAGATATAGCAACAGTATTCCAATTTCAGTCTCTGATCTGGCTCTTGTAAAGAGAGTATAGCAGTGGGAATCAGGTACTTAAGGGAGTGGTACAATCATTGATCATTTTTCAAACATCTTTAGCAACGGATCATATGAGTCCCAATAGGTGTTCAAAGCCAGGGGGTCTCCTTGAGAGAACTAGTTTTCATCCTGATGGGCAAAAATTCAGGGTCTGCTCAGTGTTGATGGAACATTACTAGTTTGATTTTTGAATTATTGTATTTTATTATAGAAGCCAATCTCCTTTACAGGCTGTAAAATCTCACTTTGGTATTTTCAAACATTTCTTTTAGGTTATCTGTTCTGTAGTATTTGGCTTATGTTTGTTGGAATTCACCACATATCAATATACACAATTATTTACAGAACCTAATATAGTATGCACAATAGTGGTACTTCATTTCTGAGTTGGCACTGGTTGGTAGAATGTGCATGTCCTATACAAAGTGACTACTGACTAAGGCCACCTATTGCCGTGACAGTTGTTACACATCTGTTGTCATTTGTCTTTCATGAACTTGTTGATGGTTGGACACAAGTCAGTGTAAAGAATTTTTATATTTGTGGGTCTTATATTTAATGAGTCTTTTGTTGCTTTGACTTTTTTATTTCCCTGGATACCAATATGGCTTTGTATCCAGCATAAGATAATATTTTTATTTGGAAAAAAGATTTCTCACATTTTTCATTAAGGAGGGGATTTGTTATTTCTGTTTTGTAGCAATATAAGTACATAGAGTCAGAAAAGATTATGGTTTTATTACTATTTGTTTCTTTAAAATGATTTCCAGTGATAAATCTATAGCTAAAACTCCTGCACTGTAGATTGATAATTTATCTGGCAATTGTTTCATAGATTTAATATTGTTTAATATGGTTTTACATCCTACCTTGTCACCATTTTTAGAACTATGAGTGGGTAGCATATATACTTTGAATAATTCTTAGTTCCTCTTTGTAGGCTATTAGATTTGCTTTGGGGTGCTTGGTAATTTCCAACATGTTTTGATTGTGTGAGAAGCCAGGGTGATGTTTTTGAGAGGGTGGTTTCATGTAAGCATTGTGTTCAATCGGTTTTCAGTTGTAAGCTATTCTGCATGTAGACTGAATGATTTAATAACTTTTCCATTAAAGAATCTTACGTCTAGATTTATCTACACTATTGTAGGTAGGGTTTGATGAGCATGAAAATAGTTTGATGTAGTATTGCAATGCCAGTTTTTGTTGCCTTAATGATAATGGGACACATTTGCTCCAGAATAGACTTAACAGGAGAGCTCTCAGTGCTAGTCTGAGGCATTGATGGTGTATTGTTTCTACTCCTTTCAAGTAGGATTTTCTTGCTGACTCGTGGATAAAGCATTGATAATCTAGTTTTGATCTTACTATTGATTGGTAGAGTCTTAATAATTTGTTTTTGTCTACTCCCCAATCCATGTATGCTACTTAGCTGGATTGCTTTGTGGCATTTTCTTCTCAAATGTGTGGAATGAAAGACATTTTTTTATCAAATATGCCTAGATATACTTTCCAGACAACTTTAATCTCTAAAAATTTAAATGCAATGTTAATCATTATCTACTGCCCTCTTGATCAATCTTTCTGTACCTTACCTGCTCCTTAGTGGTGTTTGTTTTCTAATTCTTTGACACCCAGTAACCCCTTGTGTTTCAGTGGCTTTATTGTCTTGCTTAGAGAGAACTTGATTAAAAAATCATTATGCATTTTATGGTGGTTACAAAAATGCACACACTTAGTTTCAGTTTTGGAGGTTATGAATCTGTTCTCTTCAGTCTATTTAGGAAGAGTTGTAGTTTGCATTCTACAGACATGTTCTTCAATTTTTAACATACCATAAAATCATCCAAATACAAAAGGAGCAATCCACTCCATGATCAATGTTTTTTTTTTTTTTACTATTTAGACTGACTGGCAAAATACTTCCTTGTGGTACACTATTTTACCAATCTTTCTCTTTTTAAATATGAAAGTACAGTTCCCACTTACACTTTGAAGTTTTGCTTTTCTAAGAAATTTTCGATAAAGATTGGCATTCTACTTTTTAATCAGAGGTTCTTCAGGTCTTTCATTATCCAGTGTTTCCAGGCCGTGCCATATGCTTTCTCCAAGTTGTTAAAACAACTTCTACATGTTTTTTTTAATGAAACCTACTCTTATAATAGTTTCTAATAGTCAGATGGTTAACTGTACTTTTATTCCTGAAGCTTGGTTGAAATTCTAGTACTGTTGTTCATCATTCTCTCCATTGTTTTAAAACAACTGGTGAGAGATATTGGTCAAAAATTTAATGGGTCATTGTTGAAGTTTTGAGGCTCAGGTTGTGTTTAGGTATAGAGATCATTATGGCTCGCTTCCAAAGATCAGGAACATTACCACTGAACTATATTTCGTTATATACTTTTAAAAGATATTTGAGAGATGCTTTGGGTAGCTGCTTCAGAAACTCAATGTATTTCGTCAGGACCAACCATAATGTTGTAAGTTTTAGCTGGTGATTCTTTTAATTTGATAAAGAAAAATGACTGTAACTTTCTGTGTTTTTTTGAGTGGAAATTTATATTTCTTGGTTTTATATATTGGAAGTTTTGGTTTTATTTTTTGATGAAGAATTCTGTGAAAATTTGTCCACCAGGGCTTTCATTATATCTTTTTGTGTCTGGAATTGGTTTGTTATTTTGATTGAAATGTTTTAGTGGGTGTGCTATTATCCCACACATCTTTTTTTTTTTTCATGTCCCATACAGTTTTGTTTTTTGTATCCATATTTGTTTTAGATACATAGTTCTTTCATGAGGTTTGTTTGGCTTCTTTTGTAGTTCTTTGTGCTTTGACTATTTTTTTGAAGTTGTTTAGCATTTCGGCAAATTTTCTTGGACCAAGATCTGCTGAATTTGGTTAAGGTGGAAGATTTTTGTATATTATCTTCAGCTATGAATGCAAGTCTTTTTGTAAAATAGACAAGAGAGTTCTCATTGTTATTATTTGATAGGTAAATGGTTGTTTTGTAGCCAATTAATGTGGTAGGATCACATTGGTGATCTATGGTCAAGTATGTACCATTTATTGGATGAAGGTATATTTGGGTTTTATTATTGCACATGAACAGGTTTTTATATATATATATATATATATATATATATATCATATGGTTCTGGTTTTGCTGATAGAGCAATTTCCTGTAAGTCTGTGTTTAAAGGAATCTGACTATGGTATCTTATAATTTACCACCTGAAATTCTATCAATATGAGTATAATTAAAAAGGAGATGTATTTTATATTTAAGTTTTATTTGCTTTGAGGAATGCCAGCAGATAATTGCTGAAGAAAAAGCTATAAGTAGAAGCCTATACAGATATTCTATTGTATTATCTTATTTGTCATAATTTAGGTTTTATTTTTGAGAGATTTTTGTTTGGAAGTTTTAATCATTTAAGGGTTTTGATCCTTGATCTCCATTTCTTCTAGCCTTTTGAATCTATTTGGGACCAAGATTAAATCCATTTTTGTTTTTGGTCACTAGTGTTTGTTCTTTACCTTCAGGTTGCTCATGTTTAATAGGATATTTCTTTCTTAAGTTTTCTTTGTATAACTGGATTAGAAACAACACTTCATTAGCAACCGTTTCTGATTTTGTGCTGTGTACAGTTTTTTCATTTAGGAAGCAATGTTTTTCCTCCGTTCTGTATTTGGCTTCATTATTTTAGTATTTTATTAGTATTTTTTACTCATCCAATTCTGGTCTTACTTCTTTTAAAAGTTCAGCCAATCCTCCAGTACCAGTTGTAACAATCTTTGGTATTTTTGTTGTGTATTTGTAGAAAATACCATTTGAACACGACTTCCTTCATTGTAGCTTCCACTATCTTTCATACTTTCAGGAAAAGGTGGTTTCTTGTAAATTTTACATTTAGGATTGCCTTTTCCTTTTCCCACAAGTTCTTGTATATATTGCATGGTCTCCATTACTGTTTTTTGGCATTCATCTGTGGAGTGGTCAGGTTCTTTCACTTTGTAATTGTCACATACACTTACTTTGTCCATTACATTTCTCCTCATGGTGACCATATTTTTTTTTACATTTGTAACACCTGAGGGTGTTTTTGAATAAATTGTTCTAGTCTATGTTATAACCAACTTTTGGTTTTGGTGGGATTTTAGTCATGTTGAATTTAGCTGTTTTATTTAATTGACATTCTTCTAACATGTATCACTATGTTCCTTTTTTTCAATTCAGTCTTTATCTCCTCCATTGTGCAGAGGAAGAATTCCCTATTTCAATATGGAACATCATGTTTATTTGTATGTTCACAAGTTTCTTTTTCCTCCACTAAGATTGTTCCATTATTTATGTTTTCAGATTTTTCAGGGTTATGTTAGAGGAAATGACTTTTTGAATAAGAAAAGGGGATAATTTGGTTAATAGAATCTAATCTTTGGATTCCAAGACAATAAGTCTTAGAATATTCCCTCCTTTCTGTTCTGTTTCAGAGCCAATATGCAGTCTCTTGGTTGATTTGTTTGCCATTGTTTTTTTTTTGTTGTTTTTTTAATATTATTCTTTTAAATTTACTTTGTGGTTTTAATATTCATTTTCTTTTAAAGTTATGTTTTTATTTACTATTATCAGAGTCTAATTTAATGGGAAATATGAAGGGAGAAACACATTCACCAAACAAAGATACAGATATAGTAATATTTGAATGTGGCTACAAGCACCTTCTTTTCTTTTTACTTCAACACCCAAGAATTAGTGAAACAATTGGAGATGTACAGACATGTTATAGTCCTTAGAATGTTGGAAAAAAACTTTTGTGGTATATAATATATATATATATTATATATATATATATATATATATATATATATGAGGTGTGCAATGTTGTGACTATGCTCTCTGAATTCAGGTTTTTCATGACCAGCTGATTGATTGGTTTGAACCCTTCCAACCACCAGTCTAGCCCAAGTAAACCAGATCACAAATTGTTCTATTTTGATAGCATTCTAGCAAAAGAAAATCAACTTTGGACACTTCATACAATGACCTCTTAGTATTTATGCTAATAATGTCAAGGATGAATACAACATGGCTATCTCAATTGACCATACCTCAGAAATTACCTAACTCAACAATTTAAACGACAATTAAGCCAATGTTAGATTTCTCTTACTTTGTCTCCTTTGTTCAGCTTCAATTTTCTCTTTTTCCTGACTGGCTTCTTCAGTAATAATCCGCAAACGTCTGAAGTAAGTGAAAGAGTTATGAAAAAGTTGCTGAGAAAAGACGAGATACATTAAACATTTTAAAACAAATAATTTAAGCAACAAATAAGAGCAAAACCATATTACATTCCATTACACATGTATTTATTCATGTATAGGTGTTTGTAAATGTAAAAAATATTTCTCAAAAAGTTTATTTAAAATCAGGATTCCTATCAGAAGTAGAATAAACATTTTGAATTTCCCACTTTTTGTTCTTGCCAATGAGAGATAAAGCAAGTTATAGTCATTGTAAAGCAATCATTGATATATTTTGAGTTTAAACATTGCTTATCTTCATTGTGGAAGTGTAAGAGAGTATATATTGATGATCAACAGAAAAATCAAGTTAGAATTCTTCTCAGTGGCACACTTTGATGTTCAACAATTTACAGTGAAATCAAAAATTCTTATTACCAATCTGATGTAACTAACAACTGTTTGCATGATACAATGGACAATGTTAAGTAATTTACTCTCTTTACCAATAGAAATAGCATGAAGTCCCATTTAGCATAGTATCTTAGTGATCTGCTTTGGTCATAAGATGAGCATGGCTCAATACACTCCACAGAGAACAAGAAAATTACATGACAACCACATCACATATCTTATGTTGATAAATACAATGAGTTTATGTCAAAGGCATAATTACATTGAAAAGAATAGCAGCTGGAACTGACCTTCGTAATTGGCTATTTTCATTTCGTAGTGGCTGGAGAGAGAGCCCAATTTCAGTCTGTAAGTCAAATGTATCACTTAATTGAGGAAGAGAGTTGACCACTTGTTGAATCTGTTTTATCAATCTGTTTATCTCGGGCTGGTCTAAAACAAAAAGAAAGAACAGAAACACTTTCAATGTAAAAATTCATCAAGAGATGTTTGCATGCAGTGAGAAAAAGAAAAAAAGCCTACAGTTTTCAAGCATAAACAATTTGTATAGCCAACCTGGTTACAACCATCTGCTTTTTGAAAATCATACCACACTTTATGATTATCATGATTAAGTTGTTAATAATAATAATAATAATATATAAAATAAATATAGATACAAGCAACCATACATACGTGCAATCACTCATATATAAATTTGCAAATATTTTATTTAATTTTGGGTGTTAACAAAACAGTGCTCAATGTGGTAAACCACAAAGTAAATATTAAATACAATTATTTGACAAAGTTTAATATTTATTTATTCAAATATTAGAGTGTACGTGTTCGGCTAAAACAACTAAATAAACTAAATTAAGATATATTTAAACATATTTAATTTAATCATTTTTTAAAGCAAAAACTATATCAAGCATTACTTCTTCAAAAAATAATTATTTACTATTTATTTTGGAGGGGATTATTATAAAACGTAAATAAACTTAAATTAGATATACTTGCATTTATTTTCGCAGATGTAGTAAATAAAAGTGTAATTTTAAATGAAATCTTATTTTTGTTATTTTGATTAATATATCTATATTAAGTATACATTTATTTATGCTATATATATATATATATATATATATATATATATACACACATGTTTATAGTATTTACATTATGATCATAACTATTGGTAATTACTATAGTAGTTTTATAACTCAAGAATAAAGCCTTCCCATTTATGGACAATTGGCTTTAATGGACCACCCCTCCCCCATATTAGTCTATTGATGAGAGGTTTGTCTGCATATACAGACACAGTATCAGCCTAAAGGGCAGTTTTTTTTGTGTGTGTATATTATTGACTTAATATTTTTCAGCAATCTTATGGAAAATAATAAACTTCATTGTTTTCTTTGGTTTGTAAGTAATATAAAAAAGTAAATAATTTTAAATTATGTTTTATTAAAGCAAAAAATTAAACTAAAAAACTACTATATAGTTAAATTTGTAAAACAAATATTCAACACAACTAATGTTGACTGTAAGTCATGTCTGTCTCTTCTAATTTATATTTAACTAAACTTATACTTTTTTCAAATACGAATATATTTTAAAAGTTAAACAATTGCATTTCTAAACTAAATTCTCAATGTATCTGGCTTGCTTCTACTCTTAAAATAGTAATTAAATTCATTTACTGAGAAATGTTTGTTTCTTTAATGTTAAAAGTAAAACATTATTTACTTAAAAAAAATCTAAATTCCCCTCCAAAATAAATAGTAAATAATTATTTTTTGAAGTAAGGCTTGCTATAGGTTTTGCTTGAAAAAATGATTAAATTAAATGTTTAAATATAGTTTAATTTAAGTTTTACTTTTTTTTATTAATAATTTGAAAAAAAAAAAAAAAAGGTTAATAAACTTTTATCTAAGTTTGATTTGTTTGAGAACAACATTAACAGAGTATTTATGTTAATATTTAAATTGAAAAATAATGTATTTTTTAATAAAAATATGGGAATGCTTAGCCCCAACCATGGTATTAGTAGTGTGGTATTTTCCTAAATTTAGTTCTTCTGTAAAAAAAAAAAAAAAAAAAAATTTTAAGTTTATTATTTAAAGATTGAATAATAATTAAAAATTATATATAAATATAATAATAAATAAAATAATTATAGAAATAAAAATAAATATAATGGAAAATAAAGTTAGAAATAGAAATAGGAGAATTAATATAGGGACATAACAGTATATTTATGGAGAAGAAATAAAATATAAAAATAAAGTTAATAACCAGAGATAAAAACAAAGAAGTGATAAGGGGGATAACTATGAATACATGCAGTCGTAATTTCACTTCATTTGTTCAGCAGATTGGGATTATCAATGTATTTAAAGATAAGTTTTTCCAAGAGGTACAAGTTACATTTATCACTTTTGCCAGAGACTGACCTAAGCCTTGTGAGTGAAATTGGCTAGACATAATCCTTGGGAGCCGTCAATGGTTGTGCTAGCATGAAGTCACAATTCATTGTAACCAAGGATTTGAGTGTGCTGGCCTTATTGAAATTACCCTAGTGACAATATAACCTTTGGGCTGATACAAAATTTTAAATTAAAATTCAGAAAAGGATTTAAATTTTCTGTTCTTGTTGTTAGAAGTGCTAAAAAAAAAAAAAAAAAAAAAAAACAACTTCACAAAATTCATAATCTTAACATCTAACACTTTCTACAAAACTTATAAATAAATTAACCCTAATACTAAGATCTTTATCACTAAAACAATCGGAGATATAATTAGGAAGAAAAATAAATCCAACACCACTTCAAATGCTGGTACTTATCAAAAGAATTACTTACAATATAAAAGAATTTACATTAGAGAAATATCATGAAATCTAAAATCCCATATCCATGAGTATAAGAGACAACCATTTAAGCTCGCTCATAATATACAGGAACAAAACTGAGCATAATTTTGATTTTACATGTGCCACACTAATGAAAAAAGAACATAATTCTTCACTTCAAAAATATTTTGAGTGACTACTAATAACATTACCAACAATAAAAACATGTCAAAAACATTACATTGCCAACCTTTATTGAATCCATTCTTAAAGAATCTAACGTATGTTTATCTTAAACAAATGGTATGTATGTAAAAGACGCCAGGTGGTCATATCTGTCATGAAAATAGACTGTTCCAAGATGTTTATGAGATTGGGAGGTGAAAAAACTAATTCATGACAGATTGCAATAATAATTGGAAAAATATATTTACAGAGCCACATATGAGAGCCTAATAATTTGAAAGATCAATTTCATAAGCTTCTATTTTGACAGCATGTGTCAACTATTTATAAAATATCTTCTCCATTACCCAAAAATATTCATACAACTTAAACCAAAATAAAGAGTAAAAATTCATCATATGCAAAGGAATCTGTAATTTCAAAGAAAAAACAATATTTAATTCATATGACTTTTGTTTTACTGGCTTTAAAACATTTATACTGTTGTATATTGTTTTAATATAGAACTTAATATTTGGAATTATTGCACAATATCTGCAAATATTAATTATTTTGATAAAGTAAAATGATAATTCAAATGTTTGGCTGTGAAAAAAAGGAAGTAAATTCTCATATCTTAATATCAAAAGTTTCAAATTTAGTCGCTTTACAAAGGCAAATATATTTAGACAAAATCAGTTTGCTGCTACAATTATGTTCTTTCAACAATATTTTGATTATTTCTTATTTAAAAAAATATAAAATAAAAAAACAGTGTTTTCCTGTGTATTCCAGTCTCCAGTTTTTTCAGTATACACACACACATCATATATAAATTCAGAAAACTATACAAATAATCATTGATAAAATAACTAGTTATAAGAGTCAAATTTATGGGCAACCAATTCAAATCAAGCATATTCACACACAAATGTTGCTTTATTATGGCCACTATAACATTTTCACTTTCACAAACCAGGCAAATCCATTTTAAGAAACTCATTGATTAAAAAAACTTACTGCTTTATGACAGCATGTTGTTCTATTTGTTGCCATATAATGCATAAAGTATAAAAAGTCCTCTATTTTAGGAGAAATTTTCTTAGTTACCAAAGTAAAGCTCTAATTAAAACTAGAACTCTGGCAATTCTTTCTATTGAGTGAAACTGATTAATTTTTATTCATAATTTAACTTAAAATAGACTGCAATTTTTAATTTTTGTTCAACTGTGTAGAAGTTATTCCCATACCTGTAGATATTTGTGTTGTATACATTTTCTATATTTAGTTTTATCATGTAAATTAATTTAATCGATGTATTTTGGTGAGGCTTTTATTTTAGACAATTTAACTACATATCAAAAACCATTAAGAAATTATGCTAGTATAACAAAGTATAGTATAAACATTTTTCTCAATGTGTATGTTTTAATGAAATTTCCATTGGATGTGTGTATGTTAATAATGCTTTAATAGAATTTTATAAAAATTTCCACATATCTATAAATGTGTATTTTCCTGTATTCATTTTTGTTTCAGAATATCTAAGTTACTTTTATACTCACTTGCTGACTTGCAAATTTCTTCTAATTCATTTATCATAAATCGAAGGGTTTTAGCACCAGCCAAAGCCTCTACACTTTGCCACTGAAGAGGTGGAAGGTCGTGCATATTTGAATTTGGATGCTGGACATAACTGTATTGAGAATTAAAATGGTCTGGGGCATTTGTCTTTATACCAACATCATCTGAAATAGATTCAGGTTCAATCTTTTTTGTAGCAGCCACCACTGGAGCATTAAAATGAGGAATTTTGGTTAAAGTATCTGATTTATCAGGATATTCATGTGGATCTCTGTTTTTAGTTTGTGTGTCACTGTCTCTAACAGGTTCTTCAAATGGAACAAGACCTTGGCTGTCGTGTCTTGATGAAAGATCTACAGGAACAAATGTAGCATTAGATGCAATTTGCGTGTGAACTGGATTAAATTCATTACTTTTAAATTCTGTCTGTACAAATTGATTAGTCAAATAATCCATTACTTGTCTATCTTTGTTGACTGAAGTCATAGACGTAATGTTGCTGGTGGTTGCTGGAGCATTTGCATATTGTGGTAATGGTGCACACTGTTCAGTAGATAGTAATCTCTCCTCTTGTGAATACAATTCAAAGTTTACTTCTGGACAAGAAGGGGTTGTACACCGAGATGGAAAAGGAGTGGGATTAAGAGAAATCACTGCATTTTCAAGTGGAGGTTGTTGGGAAGAGGTAGACTTTGACACTGATCTTAGTCCATCAGTTGCCATATCAGGGGGTTTAGCAAACAAATTTGAGTTTGATGATTGTTTAGCATAATCATTAGTAGAAGTACTCTGTGTATTTCCTGGAATGAAAGATTTATTTGTCTGCTGTGTGCAAGGATTTGCAACCATTTTCTGAGAATAGACAGCTTGATCAGTATTAAAACTATTAAGCTGAGCTTTTGACGTATTATACACAATTTGATGGAAAGCAGAATTCTGAGAAGAAACTAACTTCTGACCAGCTGCTGCTACTTTATTCACTTGGTGAATGGAGAAACTAACAGCATTCTGTTCTGTTGAACAAGAAGGAACATTTGAACAAGAGACTTTTGATTCATTTTTGTATTTCAGCTGATTTAACAAATTGCTTTTGTTTGGTTTGAACTGAGAATTTGTTGCAGTTTTTCTTTGTGCAGCTTTGGTCTGGTTTTGTATGATTTGTTGAAGTTTTGCAGCTTTGGTCATTTTAAGAGGAGGAGGAGGAAGAGGGGGAGGCCTTTGGTTATACTGGTCTGTAAGTTCCTGAGCAGAGACTGATTGAACACCCTCACTGTTGACTTGTTTGGATGGGGTTTGTTTTTCTGGGTCAGGAGTTGATGTGGAGAGAGTCCTGTTGAAGGGTATAGTAGTTGCTATAGGATAAGCTATATAACGGATTCCTGATGGTTCACCTAAAGAAGGAGAAAATTGTTAATTAAAAAGAAAAGAAAAAAAAAAAAAACAATCATTGGACAAACATGAAACAGAAAAGTTTTAAAATACTTTAAAAACTGCACTTTATATACAAGAGATTTTATTCTAATATAAATAAAAGCATTTGTAAAAAAGGATATTTCAGTAGAGTTATGCACTCTTTATGCTTGTTTACAGTATTTTCATAAATATATTTATTACTTTTCTTTTAGCAATGTATAAAAAAATGGCTACATGTCAATATTATGGAATTCCACTTTTGTCATCTTTTGTTCAGCTAATATCTTAGAAAAACTCATAGCAAATTTTATTGTTTAATTTATAGAAATATAATTGTAATCCCAGCTCACCTGAGAGTTATCTTTGAAGAGAATAGAAATCAAATTTAGCAAACAATTCACATAAATAAAAGTAAATTTCAAATCCTTAAGTAGTAGATCCATCTGGTAATGTAATAGAAATAGAAACCTGATAAATTATTATCCATAATTATTCACTGGTGAATAGAATGAAACTTGTCGATCTTGGGAAGTAGAATATTTGTTACAGGTGAATCCTAATTGTACATTTATATTTGTAAAATACAATGTGACTTTAATATATTTATTGACAATCACACTTCATGGTCTCACCAAACTTCCATTATTATAGTAGTACAGACACCAGTTATTTGGTGCTTTTTATTACCATAACAAAATTGCTTTTATTTTTAATTTTATATTAACATTTTCTTTTAAGAGTAACATGCTCAATAACTAGTAAAAATCATGTGCAACTAAATATTTCATTTTAATTGCTTATTTAAAATAACCCTCCAGTAAATATCTGTAAATATTTAGTTATTTTTCTTAAAAAGGATTCTCATAGAAATTTAAATATATCCATGATTTTTTTTCTTCATATTTCCAATTATTTAATCTTTATTTCCTCAGCCATTTAAATTTTATTTAATAGTGATTAGAATATTGGTCAGTTTAAAGCAATGCAACTGAAAAATTACTAACATTGCCACCAGTTTTAGAGGTAAACTATTTATTTCCTAAAATTGACATATAAAAATCCATAATTTATGTTTCAAATTATTTTCACCTTCCATATTATTTTTAAGCTTGTATGGATAGTAGTTTAGCAATTGCATTGTACTTATAAAATATATAAAACTTAAAATGTAGCCATTATTGTTTGACAGTACAGTTAAACTAGTAAAAATGATTGTTTTTCGTGTTGAATTTTTAAAAAATTACTTTTAAGATTTTAATTTGAAGATTTTTAAGCTTGTTTGAAAATATCATCATAAAATTTACAACTAATGAAAAATAATAATTTTTAATAGATTTACTTAATGAAAAGATCTTTTGCTTAAATCTGCACTGATAATTCTCAAGTGGATCATTGAGAAATTAAGATCTTTGCAATAAATATAGAAAAAAATTGACATGTGTCTAAGGTATTGCAATTAAATAATATATTGGCCTCAGTAATATTTTGCATTTCTTATAGAAAATGGACTGAGTAAATTTAAAAAGTAATCTATGTTATATTAAGAATTAAATTTTCACCAATTTTACAAATTGACCATTCATGAAATTTGTTACAAATGTCAAAAATTGCTTTCTCCAGTTTAAAATTATCTTCAGAGAAAATTGCATACAGAGTAGGTAGAGAAAGGGAGTGCTTCTGATAGTTTTTTTCCTTTTTTGTTACAATAATGCCAGATTAAGTAGATATTCTTTTTATCAGACACTAATTTTTCTTGGAAGTCTGGCTGTTAAAAATAAGCATCAAACAAATACTCTATTTTTATTGCAATTTTAGCATAACTATTACAAAAACAGGTGATTTTTCCCTGTAGAATCTAGGGTAAAGTTTCAGTTAAAACAGTTTTTCAATAATCTTGAAATATTTACAAATCAGCCAAAATGGTAATATTTAAATTTTTAACTGAAAAAGGCCTTTTTTTTTTTTGACAAAAGAAAGTAAAAATCTTTTCTTTCTCAACTTCTAAAATGAGAAATTATTTAAAGTCAGGCTAATGTTCTCATCTTTGTTGCTATAATCATGTTTCAGCCATTGTGCTCTCATTGTCAACCCAGAAAAACTACAAGGAATTTCAAACTGACCCTTTTATTCAATTTATGGGAGTAGGTTATTCTCATTCCATTGTCCATGTCATCTTGGACGATTATTTTTCAGAAGACACAACAGCCAAAATGTGGTGATCATAACAAAGATGATGCTATTAGTCTGACTGTAAATGACAACTTATCTTGTTCAAGTGTTATAAATAATTAAGATGTGAAATTATCATCCTATTTTACAGATAACATTACTAATCATCTTTGCAATAACTGCGATGCAAATAAAGCTAAAGAAATGTATTGTCAATATAATAAAGAAAATGTTAAAGAACAATATGGTTTTTACCTTCTGATGCAGCAGGTGAAATTTTGTTTATTTGCCTAGGGGAAACATCCTGATTCTTTGCAGTGGAATTATTCTTTGCTGATGCAACTGTTATAAAAATTAATTTCTTCTGAATAAGTACATACCCCATAAAATAACTTGACAGACAACTTGACATACAATAGACATTTTAAAAATAAAATATATTGTGTTAAAAGAATCACAAAAAAATAAAAAACTCCAATAATGCTTATGAAAGATAACACTTTTTTTGTTGGTATTATTTTCATTCAAATGCTTTACGTCTCTTACTGCACAAAGATTGCTTAAGAAATAAATAAAAATTCATGAATCACTTATTTTTATATAATAATATATTGTGACTAAAGTAGAAATCAACTTTAATTTATAGCATTGTATGTATACGTATTCTCCACTTTAAGCATAATTTAAAAGAAAAAAAAAAAGTATCAACTAAGGGAAGCAACTCTTGTAGTTGTTCTCGATTACTTCTCTTCTCTACAGTCTACGTTGAGTTTTTTTTAAAACTGAACTTTAAGGTAGATACTGCCAAACAAAAGCGGTACCTAAGGTTTAAAGCGCATTTTTAAAAATGAAAATAATTCTTGTAGAATTTATTTTAGTTTTAATTTCAAGCTAATAGATTAAATTTTATATTTCCAATAAGCAAAATACTTTGTTGTATTTCAAACTGAATTTAAATTGATTAGAATATATTTGTTATTAAAAACGCTAAAATTATCCATATTGACATATCTGTAAACACAAGGTAATTCGCTTTATTGAAAAACTTTTAAAAATAATAAAATATACTTTTCTGAAACTATTTGAAGATGATGAGCTGATTTAAAGTTTAATTAATCTGATATGAAATTTGGTGGTGCAAGTCAAAAAATAAAAAATAAAAAAATATGAAAGAGAAAGTACAAAATAAGGATTCAAATTTTTGTATCTGCAGAAGCCTGATGAACAAAAATAAGTAATAATAATCATATAAAAATTTATTAAATTATACTAATGGTTTCTGAGTTTGATAGCTCATGTTTCAGACGTAAACGTTTTTTCCTTTTTTTGCATTTTATTTATAGTATTTCAATTAAATTATATGCCAAATTCAATTTATTCTACAATGATAACAAAAATACACAAAATAAAAATTGCATACTTAATTTTCCAGTTGATCTGGAACTATTACTTTTGGTAGCAATTCCACATGTCACTTCCTTCTTTTTCTGGTTCATTCGACTACAAAAGAATTTAAGTGATGTCACCATGGAGTCATTATGCAATAACCTCAATATAAAAAAATCATAGTATACTACACATTTCAATTTGTTGCTTTGTTATTTATTTATACAAATTAAATTTTTAACATAATATAGTTTAAATTTAGTCTGTACTAAAAGGAAACTAGTCACATATGGAGATGAAAATAGTTTAAAATAAACTTGGAAATAATGAAACTTTCATGAAATGCTAACGTTGAATTATTTAAAACGTGAAAACCAAAAGTTGCAACAATCTATCTTTCATTGTTGCACAAAGTAAAATTATTTTAGGAGATTCCTGCTTCTTTTCACAGTCAAGTCATAATCAGAATTTGTGAATATTGATAAAAGTTTGAAAAGAAAAAAATATACAATTAAAAATTACAATTGAATTTGAATAAACTTTGAAGGACACTGCTGCTGAATTTCGAAATGAAGGTTTTGGGTCCAAATCTGATTCTATAGAATTTATATATTTTTGCATAATATAAATTCTATATATTCAGAGACAATTGAATTTTATCTTACAAAAATTGATAGTTGAATTTTATCAATGAAGTCAATGAAACAAAGTTACTAAATCTAAACCATAAGTCATTGTATTTTACAGGCACAGAGAATTGAAAAGTTTAAATTCCTCATTTTTTCTCCCCCTATTTCCTTTTGGCCCAAAATATGAAAAAAAAAAAAAAAAAAAAAAAACAACAACAAAAAAAAAACACATTCAGCAAAATATAACACACACACTATATATATATTACACATCCATACACATATATATTATACACACACATACATACATATTACACACCCATATATATATATATATATATATATATATATATATATCTATCACACACACACACATACCCGAGAGTGAGAGGGGGGATTTTTCCACTAATATCTGCAGAAAGGAAACATGTGCTGATCCAAAAGAATTGATTTTTTTTTTAAATTTCATATTAACGAAGAAAACATTTGATAAATGTGAAGATAATTAAAGTTATTTATGAATTTTGACAGCTCTAACAAAATTCTATTTTAATAACATTATTCTCACGAGACCAACAGGCTAATTATTTTTCTCAGTTTAAATATATCAGATAAAAGTTAGAAAATAGAATTTTTCTCATCATCATAGTGCATAGCCATTTCAGAATGTTTAAAATAAACAGGTATAACTGATAAAGTTAACTGGTCAGTACAAAATATAAAGTATAAAAATTTTTCATTCAAAAACATGATTTTTTTAAAAAATCTTTTTGAATGTTTTCTTTCAGTTCAAGAATCTGCTTCTCCAACCTTTTTAAGAATTTCAATAATTCACTTACAACAAACCAAAGATGAAATAATTGTTTTCTACATAATGAAATTGTGGACAATACAGAACAAAAGAATTAATTTGATTACAGAATACATGAACACAAAACATTAAGTAACGAAATAGTTACACTTTTCTTCAAATATAGTAGTTATGTTGTTATAAATATTAAAATAAATCTAGAAATTATCCTAAGTTTCAATTATTTAACTTTGTTAGTGAATTTATTTTTATATTGTAATGAGAATATTTTTTATTTGCTAAACATGCAAATTTATTACAAATTTTATAACTATATACAAACAGAGCATTGAAAAATTCTTAGCTAAAGTAAGAATCCCTTTAAAAAAAAAAAAAAAATGTGAGCAGGACCAAGAACCTTTCATCATCCCTTGTCAAATTAAGTTATCACTCATTTCACTGTTTCTTAACTTGTAATAATTTTACTTACCCTACTGTTGAGCTTCTCATTTTTGGTTTCATCACAAACTCCTGAATTTGAATAGAAAACAAATACAGATAGCATCACTATGAACATATTCTTTATCCCATAAGAAATATACTATCAAGTAAAATTATAATAAACAACTGTTCAGTATGGAAATACTTATACAGTGAGCGATGGATAAATTGTCGCCTAAATTACACCCAAAATAAAAATAACACTGGCATCTCATTTTAACAGATATATTTACCAAAATTACACAAAAATATCTTCAAATACTAAAGAGTAAATTTATTGAATAAAATCGCCAGTGGCTTCAACCACGGCCTCAAGACGATTTTGGACAGTCTCCTTGCTTAAGTTGGTAATCATTGCCTTCAGTTCATTTTTGGTGCTACAAAGAGTTTTGTTGGTCTCTTGCTCAATTGCACCCTACACATAATGGGGTTTTAAGTGGCCAGATGTAAGGAGTGATGTAGTTGCAGAAATTGTCTGACAGCCATAACTTGGTTCTCCTGCTTGCATGGTGCAGTGTCTTGTTGCTAGACACAGGGTCTTTCAGCAGCTACTCTCTTGACCCAGGGCAGCACTAATAGTATCTTCAGGAGTTTTTCAAAATTAAAAAAAAGTACACACGCAATATCAAAAGGGAGGTGGTGAAACATACATCCAAAAAATTATTTCCTCAAAATGACAGTCTTTTAATAAAATAACCTATCAAGTAAAATGTGTATGCACCAATGAATAAGTCCTAGACATTTTGTTTGAATCAGATAATATTCTCTATAACCTAAAATTTAAATTATTTATTATAGTCATCGCTCTTATTTTCTGATTATGTTGCGTATGGTTGACCATTCTTTCAAACAGGGGTATGTTACGTAATATTTTATATATAAAAAATTAAAATTTATTTTTTAAATCTTGAAGCAAAATACTTTGTATTAAGATTTTCAATTTTTGATTAGTAAATAGTTTCCACTTAATAACAATATCACCTAACCAGATTGAAGTAATGCAGAATTTTAAAGAATTTATATATTATGAATTATTATTTAATATATATATATATATATAAAAATGAATACAATTCTTGTAAAAATTCATTATCATAAAAAAAAATTTTCTAAGCCAACAGTGTCATATAAAGTCTTATAAAAGCAATTAAAAGCTTTTCTAATTAATAATGTCATATGGCAATTTTTAATTTGATTTGGTGCAGATTTTCAGGAAAAAAAAAATATGAGGATTTACAATATTCTCCAAGGAGTCCAGCTTTTAGCTCATAAAATAAATGGAGATTGTAATCTAATTTCTCGAAATTTCATGAAATTAAGTGGAGTAGCATAAAAAAAAAAAAAAAAAAAAAAAAAAAAAAAATTTCATTGTTTTTGAATGTTCTGAAAGTTTCTGCTGACAATTATTTGATTTTTACAAGAATTTCCAAATCAATGTTTTTCACCTGAAAGTAAACAAATTAAATGTATTATTAATTACGTCGACTGCTGCACCCAAAAAAGAAAAAGAAAAGAAAAGAAAAGAAAAAAAAAAAAAAAAACAACTTT